ACCCTATGGGAAAAATAGGGGGAGAAGGGGACAAGAGAACAGGGGGATGATAGAGAAGAGGGCAGATTGGGAAAGGCAGTAATCAGAAGCAAATACTTCTGAAGGGTCAAAAGAAAGAATAGAATAAATGGGAGGGCAGGATAGGATTAAGGGAAATAGAGTTCATTTTTCACAACATGTCTACTATGGAAGTGTTTTGCATAACTGCACATGTATAACCTATATTGAGTTGTTTGCCTTTTCAATGAGGGTGGGTGGGGAGGGAGGAAGGGAGAAGATTTGAAACTTAAAGTTTTAAAAACATATGTTTAAAAAAAATGTTTTCACACGCTACTGGGAAATAAGAAATACAGGAAATGGGGTATAGAAGTCTGTCCTGCCCTACAGGAAAATAGAAGGGGAAGGGGATAAGAGAAGTGGGGAGAGATAGAAGAGAGGGCAGACTAGGGGAAGGGGTATTCAGAATGCATGCCATCTTGCGGTGGGGTGATGGGGGAGATGGGGTGAAAATTTGGAACTCAAAATTTTGTGGAAGTAAATATTGAAAACTGAAAATAAATTTATAAAAAAAAACTATGGAAAATTGAGGATTTTGGCTTTCCCATCTCCCTATCATCATCCAAGTCAAGGATAGACTGGACAAAGATTCACTTTGCTAAGGAGGAAATTGTTGAGCACCACATGAAAGGGAAAAAAAGGTCTGCCAGCAATCAAGAGCCATGAGTTACCCCTTTGCCACATGTGCTAAACTGAAGCCCACTTCTCCCTGATGTCTCCCACCAGCAATGTCTGTCACAGACTTGGGCTGGGGTGGGGGGGGTTTGACAGGATGCTTTGTGCCAACTGTTCTCACTGTACCACCATACTGAATGTCCTCTCTCAAAACCACCAGACAATCATGATAAGAACACATCAGAATGAGGCTTGGCACCAACAGCATTAAAGGTGATCTCCAACCTCTCAGAGGTACCCCTAGAGCCATGTGGGGATTTGGGAACCATTCTCTGAGGACCTGGCTAGTTACGACAAGAAGGCACTGGGCACATTTGGTGGGGGAGGGGAGGTGTTGCACAGGCCAAATACTTTCCCAGTGGTGCTAGTAAGGGGAGTGGGAGTGTGGTTGGGGATCAGGAAAGGCTATCTGAGGAAAGATCCTTGAGGTGAGCTTTAAAGGAAGTTAGAATTCTCAAAGGCAGAGATGAAGAGGAAGAACATTCCAGGTAAGAGGGATTATAGGCATATGGGGGATGGGGAGAAAGAACGTCATGTATTGGTCAGAGCAGATGGGCAGTTTGCCGGGCAGGTAGAGTACATGAAGGAGAGTAATATTCAATAAGCCTGGAAAGGCAGGCTGGAACCAGATTGTGAAGGGCTTCAAAAGTCAAACAAAGGAGTTTGTATTTGACTCTACAGGTAAGAGGGAACCACTGGAGTTTCTTGGACAGGGGAGTGGCATAGACAAGTGCCACAGACAAGTAGAATATCAACTTGACAGCTGTGTGGAAGATGTATTGGAGAGAGGAGAGACTTCCCTTACAACAAAACGCTACCAAACTGATATTCCTAAAAAGTACCTCCCCCCCAAACTCAGACATCTTGATTACTGGGGACATGCCTTGATTTTGAGGACTCTACTTTCCACCAAAGATAGAGTTGCCTTCTCCTGGTAGAGGACTGGGGAAAGCAGACAGAAAGGCACAAACTCCTCAATGAGAAAAAAAGAGAGGAAGGAGAGAGAAGACAAGGTTGGTAGGTGGTTGGTAGAGACCTTTACCCACAATCCCCACATATTCTTGGTGCTAATACCTGTTCTCCTCTTTATTCTTCAGACACCTGTGGTTTCTACAATGACCAGTGCAAAGGCTAGAAGTCCTGAAAGACCTGAGGTCACGTCCTACTTCTGACACATGCTAGATACTCAGCTAGACTAAGCAAGTCACTTACCCTCTCCAATGATGCACACAAATCTATAGGGCTATAAACTGCAGGAGAGTTGCTGATCTATAATGGTGGCAGGGGCTTCCACTCCCCCGAAATTCCCTAAATACAATAAATCTGAACCAAACACGACATTGTAAGAAGAGCAATTATAGACCATTTTCCCTATAAGCCTTGGGGTGCACTGTCCCACAAATATACACACCACCCACGGGAAATGTGGGCACAAAATTAAGAGTGCAATGGTAGTGAGGCACATGTGTGGGCAAGGTACCTCACAACTCCAGGGACTCCCTTGTGGATCTTCACAAAGCTTCAGACTTTCACTATCTAGTTCACAGAGTTGTGAAGATAATATAAGGAGCCTTTTGTAAACTATAAGATGCTAGACAAACATAACATCCTCTTTTTTGTGTGTGAGACAATCAGGGTTAAGTGACTTGCCCAGGGTCACACGGCTAGTGTCAAGCATCTGAGGACACATTTGAACTCAGGTCCTCCTGACTGCAAGGCCAGAGCTCTATCCACTGCACCACCTAGCTGCCCCCATAATATCCTCTTATACTTAGTATTCCCCTGAATTTTAGCAGGCAGCATATATAAATCATAGGAGTTAATGGGGCTGTAGAGATATAAAGTAACAATTCACCAACTGCTTTGAAGTAAAAAGTATTAGTATTACTCAGATACTCTCATCAACATAGGTATGCCCTCCAATTATGCAGACTGAAGCCCACCCATGCATGACTTTAAATTTGTCGGGGGGGCCCACTGCTGAGAGCTTTATTTGCTTAGGATGTTGTGAGGATACAAGTGGAGCACATGAATGGAGCTCCTGGGCTGTCCGACTTTTATCCCTCTCCCATCTTCTTTTTTGATCACACATTTCCCTGAAAGTCTTTACTCTGGTTCTTCTTTGAAGTTCCTGGTTTGTTATATGTTGTACCAGCTTACCGTTCTGTGTGACGTTCATTTTTAGTTCTTAGTAAAGTGTAGTGTTCCATGCCTTGCAGCTGTACAGCATCAGTAAAATATTGGCATTAAAAAGATGGACCAGGGACAGCTAGGTGGTGCAGTGGATACAGCACCGGCCCTGGGATTCAGGAGGACCTGAGTTCAAATCTGACCTCAGATGCACTAGCTGTGTGACCCTGGGGGTTAGTCACTTAACCCCCACTGCTCAACCAAAAAAACAAAACAAACAAAAAAAGATGGACCTTTGTTTACTGGAGAAGTTTGGAGTAATTAAAAAAGCTGCGCAATTTCCCAAATGCAATCCAATCTGCTCTCTTCTTGCCAACTATGCACTCAAATTATTATCCATTTGTATCATTTCTCTAAGACACAGACACACAAAAACACACACACTGGGGAATATTAAGTAAAATATGATTTTGTTTGACTAGCATCCTATCTACAGGGTGTCCCACAAGTCTTAATGTAATTTTAAGCTTTAAAGATTACAACTTTAAGCTATACACATTCCTATTATACAAATAAGAGGTGCAGAGAAGCTGGGTGACTTGCCCAGGGTCACATAGTAACTGAGGCAGGATTTGAACTCATTCCTTTCTGACTGTCCAGCACTCTCACTACCTAGCTGCTAGATGAGCTAGATGGTCGTTCATCCAAATGCATGTTCCACTCTGGACAATAGACTTTCATCCACTTTTCTTTTTCTCTATCGCAGGCAGTTTTGAGTAGCTATGGATCTCTTCCAGGAAGCAATGAAATGTTCTGGAGCTTGATGCAAATTAACACAATGCCAAGGGCAAACACAGCATTCACAGGGCATCCCTCTTCAGCATTATTATCCTCATTTACAAAAGGCACTGAAGCTGAGAGAACCCGGTTGAAAGGTCAGTGTCAAAGTGATTACTTGTACCCATTCCTGATGTCCAACAGGCTTATTAAACTGGGGTCCTGAGAAGTGACTTGCCCAAAACCACTTATGTAATTTAATAAACTTGCTTGATAATAATGATGATTATGATGATAATGCCATCATTTTTCTGGTGCACAACGTGAGTTACTAAAGCGAGGGACATGGACTTTACGGATGGTATCGGTTAACCAGTCATTCAATGGAAAGAATACTAGCCTGGAAGTTAAAAGAACGGGACTCCCAGCTTTTCCACAAGCAGGCAAGTCAGTCTGCCACACAGGCACAGCAAATACATTTACAACCTTCCACAAATGGTGACTGAAGAAAAGGACCTGAGTACAGTAATATGAGATCATTGTCACTGCCTTCCAAAGTCCTTTCATATTCACGATCTCGGAAGAGCTCTACCGCTTCTGTGGAAGGGGAAGGGTAACTATTAATTACCTTCACTCTGCAATGGAAACTGAAGCACTCGGGAAAGGATCACAGAGGGAGTTCAGAGTTAGGACTAGGTCTCCATTCTAACAGACTACCTCTTATAGAGCTGTATATAAAAAGGCAAAGTACAGACTTAGAGCTGTAGGGAACCTGAGAGGGCATGCAGTCTAACGCCCTCATTTTACAGGTTAGGTATCTGATGCAGTGAATTCAGCAGGGTCACACAGCCAGTGAGCCCTGAGTCGATATTCAAACACGGGTCTTCCTAACTTCAAGTCCAGTGCTCTAAAGTTCACCGATGCCTCTCAAAAACTCCGCTTTGGCACCATTTTGTAGGATCATAGAAGGAAAGCTGGAAGGGACCTTTCAGGTGAAGTCCAGTCGCCTTATTTTACAGCGGAGGAAACTGAGGCACACAGAACTATAAGTGACTCACCCTGGATCACACAGCTTTTAATGGCATGAGGTAGGATTTGAACTCAGGTCTGCCTGCCTCCAAGTCTATCCACCTGCACTCTACCCACTCCGCCCGGCCCAGATGGGCTCTGGAGAAACCCTAAGTGCTCGGAGGCTCCTTTGCTCCTCTGCCCTCCCCGGCGTCGGGCCGGACCTGGCGGTCCCCAGGACAGGCGGGGGCGCGGTCAGGATCGGTAATAAGGGCACCGCCTCCCTCCTCCCATTCCGGAACCACCTATTCCGGGAGGGGAGGAGGGGGTGGTCATGTGACTGCCGAGCGGCTTCACGCCCCCACCCCTCCTGGGCTGGTACCAACGGCACCAGTCCCCGGAGGGAGCTACTGCTTCGTTTCGACGGCACGATTCCCTCCTTACGACTGCTTTCCGCAGGGAGAGAGTGGACTTAGCTCTCTCCGCCTGGGACGGAGCTAACGCCCGCGCGGTTCGGCGTGTTTTTCTACGCCGTACCCTCCTACATTAGTTGGTCTCATCCTCTGCCGGACCCAGGGCGCGGCGGGCCACAGCGATCACGTCACGAGCGGGCGGGATCCCTCCGCTGCGGGGAGAACAGTGTAGGCTGCACTCACTTGAGGGATACTTTGAGAGATCCATCCGCCGCCGCCTCCGCCGCGGAGGGAGACAGGGACCTTGAGCGCGTCCCTGCGACCCCCCCTTCCGACCGCAGAGATCCACCACCACAGGTACCTCCGCAGGCAAAAGGAGTCCCCTGTTCCCCTCAGCGCCCCCAATCTCTCCCACCCCCACCCCCCCTGCGCTGGGGGAGCTTATCTTCCTTCCGCCTCCGGGGCCTGGCCTCCTGGGAGCGGACGTAACTCTCCGGCCCTCCCTCCTATCCTCTTCCCCTACTTGTGCCCAGTCCGCTCCCAAACCCGGAAGTGGAAGTGGGGGACCCTCGCCCCCCAAGAACGTTCCGCGCGCCCCCTCACCCCTGCCCAGGATCCCGTGGGCCACGCCCCCGGCCGCCTCCCGCGGTGGGGGTGGGGTCGTTGATTTGGGGTGGGTTCCCCCAGTCTCCCCACCCTTCTTCCCCCGGCTTCTGCTGGCTTCTCGGTGACCCTGGCTGTATCTGGGTGAGGCTCGGGGGTGGGGTGAGACCCCCCCCTCCTTCTACCCCCTGCCCCCTTTCCCCTGCATCCAGTGGTTTCAGTTCCCCGTCTCCGTACCTGGAGACTCCCTCCCGAGCGAGTCCAGCGAGTCTCCCACCCCCGATCCGGCTACTTTCTCGGACCTCCAGAAATGCTCTGGGAGGACACGGGGCAGGGCGGGGTGTGGGGGTGTTGCAGAATACTCCCCACCTTGCTATCCCAGGGAACTGGGTCTTTTACTCAGTTGCCAAACTCCCTAAGCTTTCAAGGAGGAGAGGGGTCAACCTTTGGTACCCCTAAAACTGAGTTTCTCACATTTACCTCCCCCTTTTCAAACTCCCTTGGGATTTCCTGCACCCCAGGATTCTTTCAGGCTGAAAAAGAGGTTTGGAAGGGTGATGGGAAGCATTCACCCTTTCCCTCATTTTGGGGTGAGGCCTGGGCTGAGCCTTTAATGGTGGGAGGAGGGTTTTCTCAAGAGCTTCAAAGAGGTGCTCTGCCTGCCTTTCTGTCTCCTCCGCTCCCCACCCCCTCCTCTCCCGGGATATCTAATGTGGGGGGCATCCTTAATAGCCCAGGTGTTGGGGGACAAGGGAAAAGGCTGGTAGGAAAGTGGAAGTTGTAGGAAAACATGACGACTGGTTCACTTAAAGAGGAGGGTCTGCCAAGCTCCATGAGGGCTCTGGTTCCCAAAAGGTGAGAGACAGTCAGTGGTCAGGGTCCCAAGAGCAGAAGAGACCAGAACTTGTAATATAATGGAAAGAGTGATGGGTCTGGGTTCAAATGTCACCTCTGATTTGTATCTGTGAGACCCTGGCCAAGTCACTTCTCTGGGTCTGTTTCCTCACCAAAGGGGTTGGATTGGTCAAGGATTCTTAACCTAAGGTTCATAAACTTGTTTTTTAAAAAAAAGGATTTTTAAAAAAATAACTATTTCAATATAATTGATTTTCTTTGTCATCCTGTGTATTTTATTTTATGCATTTAATAATATTCTGAAAATGGGTGCAGACCAGATTGCCAAAGAGATCTATGATTAAAAAAAAAAAGTTAAGAATCCTTGGACTAGATGGATGACATTTCAATAAACTTATGATTCTATGACCTGGGTCTGCTTAGAAATTGGGGCCAGAATACTTGAATCTCAAGGTAAATGGTACCCAGGATACCTGTGTCCTGGAGCCTCCAGAGCCCTGGGCCTGGTCCCTGGAGTAGGGAAAAGCAGAATACTGGATTCAGAGTAGAATGGAGCAGGTCCCCAGAACACTTGGGTCCTTAAGCAATGTGGTAGGACTAGGGCAGGCTCGACTGGGAGAGAATAGTGCTGCTTCTCTGCCAACAGTGTCTATCTGTCTCCTTTGGAGGAATCTAATTACTCCTGAGTGGCTCCCTGGGGCTTCTGCTTGCTATCATTGAGTGCCCTGGGAGGAAAGGAAGGAAGGATTTAAGGCCAAGAGACTGCAGGAAGCAGCCTGGGGGTTCCCAAGCCCCAGTGGAGTAGCAGGTTCACATACCGGAGGTCAGTAGGGTGTAACTAGTTTGGGGATGACTCCTGTTGAGCTGTCCCCAAGCCCACTATCTATCTATGGGCTTTCCACAGTCCATGTAAGCAACCACCTCAGAACCTGGGGAAGGACTGCTAGGCCCAGAACCCTTAGGTGGAAGCTGGAAGGGAATGGGTCACTGTTCCTCTTGGGACTTAGCTGGGGATGTCGTTGCCTGGGCTACAGGCAGTGGTGGGGCATTCGGCCAATGAAGAACGCCAATGAGGTGTTCTTTGGATGACAGTTGCCTAGGCAACCCCACGAACCAACCCAGCCTTCCCTTTCAAAGTGGTGTGTATATATGTGGGGTGGAGGTTGGGGTTGGATTTAAATCGGCCCTTTTCCTCATTAGAATTTTTTGAGGGGGGTGGGAAAAGGAAAGGGGATCCCCCCTTGCATTTTTCATTTACTATTCTCTGAGTAACAGTGGGGCATGGGGAGTGGGAGGGGGCAGAAGTGAAAGGAAGTGGGATGTCTCTGTGGCTTTTTCAAGCTCAGTTCTGGATTCCAACTCTGAAGGTGGGTGTCCAGTGCTGGCTCAGGAAGGGGAAGGACTTGGCAGTCTTACCTCATCTGAGTTGGTGAAGGTGCAGAGGGAGAGTTTACTGCTACTTGATCTGATCCTTAGATTTCAATTTGATTTCCCTGGGCAGGAGGAGGGCTCTGAGGACACAATTTATTCTCTCTGATTGGGGTGGGAAATGGGAGGGAGGAAGGAGCATCTTGTTCTCCTGGACACAGGCCCTTATGCCCCTAGAAAGTCTTGGAGGCCCCGCCTCTGACTCGATCCCCTCCCCAGATCTCCTTGGACACTGAAGAGCTAGTTGTTGCAGCCCCCGGGGCCCTGCTGCCCTGCTGCCACCATGAGTGAATTGGAGCAGCTGAGACAGGAGGCAGAGCAGCTCCGGAATCAGATACGGGTAAGGGGCAGGCTGGAGAGGGAGGGGGGCAGGTCCTAGGGGCTGATGTGGGGAGTAAAGGGTATTGGTTCACAGTTGTTGCCATAAAGTGGTTAGGATGAGGGGGGCTTCCCCGTCTCGTTCCCTGATGTCTTTCTCCCTTTATTCCTATCTTCCTCTGCTTTCCTGTGACTTTTTTTCCTTCTAATTTTCCTTCCTATCTTCTCTCCTCCTACCTGTTTCTTGCTGCTTACTCTCACCTGTCTTATCTCTCTTGTTTTCTCCTCTCTACTTTCTGTCCACTCTTTTTGTTCTTGTTCCCCTCCCCCACCTCAATTTTCCTCCCTCCCCTCAAATCCTTTCTGTCTCCATCACAGGATGCTCGGAAAGCATGTGGAGATTCAACATTGACCCAGGTGAGAAGGGTTTGGGAGGTTGGGGGAGGAGGGAGCAAGATATAGAATGCTTTGGGTTCTGGACCTTGTGACCCTCACTCATGTTACATTGTACCCCCAATTCCTCTGCCCAGATAACAGCTGGGCTGGACCCTGTTGGAAGAATCCAGATGAGAACACGACGGACCCTCCGTGGTCACTTGGCAAAAATCTATGCCATGCACTGGGGGACAGATTCAAGGTACACCATTCAGGGAGGGTGCATAGAACTTCTGCATCATATATTTTCCTGTCATACTTAGGTTGGCTGGCCTTTAATGGTAGGGAAGTCTTTCCTTCAGGGGATCATGAAAGCTTTAGTCAAGAGAGCAGGAATGATTTGAGAAGTTTTGGGGGAGGGCATTTTCATTAAGGTTCATAGTCCTGTCTTGAACAAATTGTGGTTGTCTCCTCATTCCTGCCTTTCTACTTTCTACTTCTGCTTTTACCATAGCCTTAGTACCAAGGAGAAAATAGATATTACCATCCAGAAGCCACTGCCCTAGAACCACAGAATATCCTAACAGGACATCTAGTATAACTCATTTTAGTCTAGAAAATAAGCTTAGTGTGGGGAATTAATTTTTTCAAGGTCAAAGCTAGGAGAATCCAGGAAGGAAATTGTTCTGGGTGGGAAACTAGGCCATGATTCACCTCCCCACCCCCTCCTTCCATTCAGACTTCCAAAGTTTTCCTCTGCCCTGGCTTCTTCCTCCTTAGGCTGCTGGTGAGTGCTTCACAGGATGGAAAACTTATAATCTGGGACAGTTATACCACCAATAAGGTAAGTAGGGTCAGCATTTGTAGATCTTTGAAGGGAACACTTCAAGGTATGGGAGTAGGTGGCAATGATTGAGGCTGCTGGGCAGGAAGCCTGGGTTGAAGACTAGGCCGAGTTGTGACCCCATATCCTATGTACCTTCCCCCTTTTCCCCTTCAGGTTCATGCTATCCCTCTCCGATCCTCTTGGGTCATGACCTGTGCCTATGCGCCCTCAGGGAATTTTGTGGCTTGTGGGGGGCTAGACAACATCTGCTCCATCTACAGTCTCAAAACCCGAGAGGGCAATGTCAGGGTCAGCAGAGAGCTGCCAGGCCACACTGGTAAGAGGATGCTGGCTTGGGGAAGTCAGTTGGGATGCATTTTCTTCCCTTCCATGGCAGCCATGCTGACCCCCCACATACTCCTCTTCTCCCACCCAGGATACCTGTCCTGCTGCCGCTTCTTAGATGATAACCAGATCATCACTAGCTCTGGAGATACCACCTGGTGAGTCCTTGGGGGAGATCACCCTTATGCCCTTCCTGGATTACTCTGTACCTTCTCTGTTTGGCTATAGTTCCTTTGTACATTGGATATAGTAGTAGGATTGTTTAATGGAGCACCTGAGATTCCTATACTTTTCCTGTTAAGCTTCTGTTAACCTCTCTATAGTTGGAAGCCCTTCCCCCAACTTCTGCCAAAGTTGTGGCACCTCTTTCCTTGAGTATTTTTTGAGCTGGGGCTGGGGGGTAATGAAGAGGAAGTACATCAGGTGCTCTGCCTGCTTACTTCTTATGTCATGTGATCTCCCATCAGTGCCCTGTGGGATATAGAAACAGGACAGCAGACAGTGGGCTTTGCAGGACACAGTGGGGATGTAATGTCCCTCTCTCTGGCTCCGGACGGCCGAAGCTTTGTCTCTGGTGCCTGTGATGCTTCCATCAAGCTGTGGGACGTTCGAGACTCCATGTGCCGGCAAACTTTTACAGGCCATGAGTCTGACATCAATGCTGTGGCCGTGAGTGAGGGGACTGGGTGGGGCATGAGAAGATGGTAGTTTTGTAGTCTTTTCTTTCTCTTACCTTCCTCCTGACTCTGCTTCTCTCCCTGCCAGTTCTTTCCAAATGGCTATGCCTTTACCACGGGCTCTGATGATGCCACGTGCCGCCTCTTTGATCTTCGGGCAGACCAAGAGCTACTTATGTACTCTCATGACAACATCATCTGTGGCATCACCTCCGTTGCCTTCTCCCGAAGTGGCCGGCTGCTGCTGGCTGGCTATGATGACTTCAACTGCAACATCTGGGATGCCATGAAAGGCGATCGGGCAGGTGAGTAATTTTGGGGAAAAAATCTAGATGCATGAGGAAGTGTGTGAGGAGCTGGGACAAGTACAGGGCTGATTCTGATCAACTTCTTCCCAGGTGTCCTTGCTGGCCATGACAACCGTGTTAGCTGTCTTGGGGTGACTGATGATGGTATGGCTGTGGCCACGGGTTCCTGGGACTCCTTCCTCAAGATATGGAACTAGCTGCCATACCCCCAATGTATCAGGCCAAGAGGGGGGAGGGAGGGCCATGCCCCACACTACAGGCCAGGAGCTGGGGGGTGGAGGGAGGGGACTGGTGGAACACACCTGGGCTCGGGCTCCCTCCTCCCTGGGGCTCATTTCCTCCCCCAGAGATGGGGATGGGATTGGGGGGGAAGCTCCCTACCCTCTTCTTTGCCTTCCCTGGTCAGGAGCCTCTCCCTGCTGGAGGGCCAGGGTCAGGGCCAAGAGTGGGAAGCTCCAGGAAGTGGCTTTTTAAAACTGGTTTTATTTTAATTTTTATTATATTTTCTGTTTTTCCATAAAGGAACCAATTCCAACTCTGTACCTAGCCTCTGCCCCTGCTTTGCCTTTCTACCTCCCAGAAGTCCCTTTCTGGGTATTGACTGCCCAGAGAAACTTAGCATTATTGGAAAATGAGATGCACCCACATTCCATAATGTGGGATGTAGAGAAGACAAAAGAATAGGTAGTATAAGCAGCTGAGCCACAAGTATGTATCATGCAACCTAGAAAACTGATGAGAGAAGCAGCTGAGAATTTTGAGATCTGAGGGAAGGTTAGAGGCCACAATTCTGTGGCCTTCTCACAGGGCCCAAGTGATTGCAAAAGATGAGGATGTGGAATTTCCTTACCTAAGCCACAAGTGAAGTCTAAAGAAATATCCTTGGGGGGTAGACTAGCTGTATCTCCTGAAGGAGTTCCAGTCCTTTTCTTGATAGATGTTGGACTACTGTCCCAGGGGCAAACTGGCTCCAGTCCCTGGAGTTGACATGACCCCCTTCTGTTTTCCCTCCACCCCCAATAAAGAGACAGCTGAGACATAAGGGGAGAACACACACTAAGTTTTATTTAGGGGTGGGATAGGTATTTACATGGGGAAGGTGAGGGGTATTGTCACATAGAATTTGGGGTATGGGCAAAAAGGCAGACCGAACAGACTGGCCCCTCCCTTGCCCCTGCCCCAGGAAAGAGGGAGCAGCCAGGGCCCAGGAAGACCCGTTTGTGGGAGGTGGTAAAGGGAAATAGGATGGAAACAGGGTACAGAGTCCCTGGGCCCCTCCGAGGGGCTCAGAGATTTGTAAACATTGACCACTCTCAGAAAGGGGGTGGGGGTGGGGGTTCCCTCCCTCCAGCTTCCTCACAGGGTTAAGGCCACTCCAGGCTCAAGGATCCCCTAAGTTCAAAGTCTCTTCAGCTGGGGGAGGGAAGGGGAAGACACAAGGACGGGGATAATCAGCCTCCCTACACACACTGGCTGTGGCAGGGGGGTGGTTACATTCAGTCACAATAGTAGCCCTCCCCCACCTCTAATGCCACTGAATACTGGCAGAAGGGGGGCAGGGAGTGAAGGGAAGGGGGAGTCAGGGAGGCCAGCAGCAACAAAAAAAAAAACAACCAAACATTTCCCCCCCCCATCCCCATTATTGCTTTAGAGAGTATTACACAGACACTAACACTGTTGAAGAAGCCAAGGGGAAGCAAATAGGGGAGCCTCCCCCACCCAAGGCCATGACCAACTCTGAACCAGTTGCCACTTTGGTGCAAAAATAAAATAAAAATATGGGATCCAAGGGGGTAATGTTGCTCTTCCCCCTCCCCTCCTCCCCCAGGGTAGGGGAACAAGTACATTCATGAGGGGGAGGTAGAGGCAGAACCCTAGCCTAATACTGTGCACTCTGGGGGGTTGAGAGCAGTGTGGATAATGTTGGGGAGACAATGTAAGAAACTCAGATGGATCTCAATTAGATGATAAAAGAAAAAAGAAACAAATTCCAACCTACCCTTATACAAGACAGACAGACATGTCTTCTTGATATCCTCCCGCCCTCCCCCATCACAGTATTTGTAAAAGGGAGAGGGGAGTAGAGAGAGAGACCATTTGTTCCTCTCCAATTTGGTCAAATTTAAGTTGTGTGAAGCACACCCTCCCCCCCCGCCCCCAAAACCCCTTCTCCAAGCTGCCTTTCCCTGTGTTCCTACTCTTCTACCTCAAAGGGAGGGCAGCTACTGGAGAGGGCTGTCCACTTCCTATTCCTTCTGCCAAAAACTGAGTAGGGCATAGGGCATAGGTGCCATGTCCCAAAAAATACATTCATATGGGGGACTGGGGAGCTGGTTTACCCAGCACTAGTCCCTCCCCCCACCCCCCAAATGGCAGAGATGGAAGCCCCTCAACTCGGGCCACTGCTTCTTGCTCCCTTAACAGGGCTAACACTGACACAAGGCCCCATTCCTACTTACCCAGCCAAGGGGACCAGGCTGGTGGGCCCATCAGATTTGTGCAACTTACCCCTAAAGCAGCAGAGCAGGGATGGCTTCCTCAGCCCCTGCCCCCCCAGAAACATCAGCAACAATCACAGGAACCACCCCAAGCAGTTCACAGAGGGTCCAATAGAGTCAAAGGAGACCCTACTGTGCAAACTGTTCTTGCCCAAGCTTCCAGTTACACAGAGGGCTGGTGTATGGGGTAGCAAAGGCTAAGTGCAGCCTAGGGGAGGAGGAACATGGACTCGGCAGGTCCCTGGGCCTTAGTTCCCTTATCACCCCCAAATAACAGTGTTTTGTTTTTTCAATCAGAACCCACCCTCCCCTCTCATCATTTTTTAAAAAGGGACCTTTGGGACTCCATTGCCACCCCAATCAGATCCCAAACCCATCAACTCCCAAAGGGGAGAAAGGGTACTGGGAGGGGAGGGGGAAGTCTAGTTTTTTTTTTTAAACATTTTCTTCAGGTTTTAATAAAAAAAAAATTCCCCTCCCCCAACCCCCCCCCCCAAATCTGTAAAGTGCCTCGTGGTGGGTGAGTTAAGGTGCATCATGTGGTTTGTAACAAGTGCTGAGGACTCTGCCTCTTTTTCCTCCAGCTTCTGCCTTCCCCCTATCCGGGGGAACCTGGCCAGGCTCAGGGTCCCAGGTATCCAAGCCACCTCCTTCCCCCCCCTCAGGTGGGGCTGGGGGGCTGGCTGTTCAGTAGTCCTCCACACTCTCGATCTCACTGGGGGATCCATGCAGGGAGTAGCCTGGGGCCAGGGAGTAAGGGATTTGAAAATAATATTCTCTCAGACTGTCACCAACTTGTTCCATTGCTCCTACAGCTCACACATACTGTACCCCCTCCCCACCCAGTTTTGGCTCCACAGGAGGAGATCCCCAACCATCATACCTACCCAGGATGCTGGGGTCTGCATGCAGCATCAGTGCTCTCCTCTTAGCTTTGCTGCCCTCCCCAGGGCCCAGCTTCGTGTTGTGATTGGTTTGGAAAGCAGCTTGTAGGGAGCTTGTACTGAGCCATGCCTCCTGTAAAGACAGAGGATGATCAGAAGAAAAGCTGAGAACCATCATTTTCATTATCTTATAACCAGAGCAAAAAGCATTGGTCCCCCACTGGCCATGGATCAGTCCCTCTGGACCCCCACCTGCTGCTGCTGCTGCTGCTGCCGTTGCTGACTAGCCTTATTCTTGGCCCTCCGCTCTAAAAATTGTTTGGCAAATTCTTTGGCTTCCAACGTGTCCCCTAGACAGGACCGGATGTAATCATGGACATCATAGGGGGATTCCACCTCTTTCAGGATCGCCACAGCCATGGGCACTGTAGGGGTTTGTGGGAAATATCAGGGACCACCTGAGTATGGTTACACAGGTCCCTGGCTCTCCCACTGTGCCCTGTCCATACCATCTAGGCTCCCAGTGGTGCTCAGCGTGTGAAGCATCTGTTCACACCACTGGGTGAAGCCGTCCTGGGGCTTAGGAATGCCTTGCAACAGCTTCAGCAACTTCTCTTCCTCATCTGTCTTCTTTCGCCCAGGTCGGCCAGAAGGGTGGCCATAAGAATCACTGTCAGAAGAACAGAGCGAAGTCAGCGTTCAGAGCTGACTCTGCCCCTGCCCCATCCTTCACCCTGCTGCTTCCCTGCCCTCCTTCCTCCCAGACTAGATCAGGCCCCACACCCACCTGAGCAAAGGACTGCTTCGGCTGTTCTTGAGGCCCAGGCTCCTGGCCAGGTTGCTGCTGCCCTTGAGTGTTTCCTCCCAGAGCCCCAGACTTCCACTGCCCCCGCTCTTCTCTAGCCCTCCCCATAGGGGTCCTGCCTCTGCCACCCACTGGGATAGAGGTGCGCTGCCCAGGCCCCCATGCTGCAGAAACACAGAGAGTAGGGGAAGTCAGATTACTAAGAACAATAGGATAGGAAGGCTTTCTAGAACAGCTGCCAAGAGAGTTGGGTGGGAGAAACCTATTCTTAGTATTTGCATGGGGATGGGGAAGGGGAGATAGGAGGTAAAGGGCACATACTTACCAAAAAAAAAAAAGGAACATCTTAAAAATTAAACTGGGCTTTAGAATAAGAGGAAGGGGGCAGCTAAGTGGCACAGTGGATAGAGCACTGGCCCTGGAGTCAGGAGGACCTAGGTTCAAATAGGGTCTCAGACACTTACTAGCTGTATGACCCCAGGCAAGTCACTTAATCCCAACTGCCTCCAAAACAAAACAAATAGAATAATAAAGGGGTGGGGGTTGATGAGCACTTGGGTGTTCCTCTACTTCTAGATGCTTCCCATCAATCTCTAGGTCACCCTTGAAAGCTGAAGGCAATAGCGAGAATGGTTCCCCTCAGGTACTAAGGTATCACTCTTACATATGGTATAGATGAGATGGGGGTGGAAAAGACAGTGAAAGAAGACGAGGGGTTATGTAAGCACTGCTCAGATCTGGCTCTGGCTTACCGCCCGCTGGGTTGGGGCCTGGGCTCGAGGAGGCTCCCGATGTTGCTGCTTGTGCAACTGCCGGTCACCCTCCAGCTGTAGCTCCAACAGGGTTTTCATCGAGAGGCCTTGCTTTGCCAGGCCAGCCCAGAGTGGAGGAGGGGAGCCTGGTGATGGAGGCACTGCCTGCTGCTGCTGCAATAGCTTTAGGAGTAGTTCCTGCTGCCGAACCTGGGAAGAAACACATGTTTAAGTCAAGGAGGTTTTGCTAAGTCAAAAGTAGGGGATTTGACTAGACAGGGACTAAGGTCCCTCTGCAACTCTTAAAAACGGATGAAGCTAAGGCTCCTGACAGCAAATTCTTTAGTCTTTGGAAGGAGCTGACCCCTTACATTCCCTACCTGCTTGCGCCGATACAGCTCCTCCTCCTCCTGTCTCCGTTTCTGTTCCTCCTGCTGCTGCCTCCGCTTTTCTTCCCGGCGTTTCCGTTCCTCCTCCTCTCTTTTTGCCCTGAGTTCCACGTCTCTCCGCTCCTGGAGCTGAGAAGGAAAACAGCATACAGAGGCCAGCCCTCTGGCCCCTGAGTCAATCCCACCCTTATGCTCAGCCTTAAAGTGACTCACT